GCCACGGAGAAGGCAGACATCGCCGACCGGATCTTGGAAATCCCAGACAAGAAGGTCACGGAGGCGACACTCGCACTCGAGCTGGTCCACGGCGACTTTGCCGACGCCGTGCTGCGAAACCTGTTCGGTCTACGATCCACTCGCTCTGGAGCTTCCTGGAACGACTCGAACGACCCCTCCGCCAAGAACCTCATTCCAGAGGAGACACTCTTCCGGATGGCCTCGGGTGGCAACCTCGCCGCAGCGATGATGGACCAGCTTACCAAGCACCAGGCCGCCGAAGCCGAGAAGAAGAAGGCCACCAAAGACGAGACGTTGAGACGCAGGACCGCCCAGAAGCAGACCACCGGTCCCAAGGCCAACCCCCCGAAGCCATCTGCCGGCACGTTCTCTTCTCTCCGTGGGTTCTTCCCAGATCCACCTGCCATCGAAGATGACGAGGCCGCTGCCCAGGCTTGCATCACGGCGGCCAAGCAAATGGCGAATAGGCTGGAGTATCGCACCTTCTCCATCACCCCCGGTGGTAAGCTTTCCCACACCCGCAAACTGAATTGCTAGTCGGCAGTTCAGTTGTGCGATCTTTGAGATGCAACGCTAACTCGAGACAGTGCTTCTGCAGCAAGCAGCCGAATGGGCTCAGACCCCGTCCAAGTACATCCTGCGCGCCATTGAGATCTATCTCGGCGATCACCCCAACGAGCGCATCGCTACGGCGCAAGCGCCAGCTCCCGACTCCAACTCCGAGCCCACTCCGACGCCCACCCCCTTCATCATACCCATCATCAACAGCCGCCCCGCGAATCGATCGAAGCCCGTCAAGCGAGACTCGCTCGCCCCCCGCGATTCTGTCGTGGCGACCCCCAGCTCACCGCAACCCATCCCGATCGCCCAACCCGATAAGACTTTACCGAGCAACGATGACGGGTCTCGTAAGGGCGACGTCGACACCCCGATGGTCAACGCCAATGACGACCCGTCCGCCACGGTCGACAGCGTCCGCGACCAACCCATGTCCAACGATGGTGGTTCAACAGGCAACGGAGCAGACAAGCAAGAGGACGAGCACGAGTCTCTCGTCGCTGGCGACACCGGCACAAATGGTACGGTAAGAAAGTGTTTGACATGAAATGCCAGTCGGCAATTCGTTTCAACATGCGCTCAAAATGTACATGTCATGTCGACTAACGCTCCGCAGGCGGCATAGAGCCCGAACCCGACACCGCGACTCGTTTGACTCGCGATGAAATCGACCTCTTCGTCACCAACATGGCAAACCTCAAAGAAGTCAAGCGTTTCGGAATCGCACAACTCCAACTCACATTCCCCAAGAACATCCGCCGCGGCGAAGGCAACGACCTCGTCATCGAAGCTTGGGATCAGGCCGGTGGGGATCCTAATTTGAGGTTGAAATAGCTGCGAGACGGACGGGTAGGATATGGGTTCTCTTTGGTCACGGTACAGATTGGTACATAGCTTGTGATAGACACATGCATGAAAGTACCTCCATTCAGAAAATGCACAGCAGCCTCCCATAATGTCCTTCCACGCCACGCGTGCGCAGTGCAGGAACGCCGCCGTTGCGAACTGATTTTCCCCCACGCAGGTATACGTTCTTCCTCCTGTCCATGTCATCTGTAGCCAACGTCCAACAGCAATTCCCCGAGCACGGAATGACCATGGATCAAGTTCTCATCCGCCCCCCCCCGCCTTCCTCATCCGCCCTCCCTTCCTCATCCGGCGGCGTTGAGAGAGCCATGTTCGTAGGGGCCGATGTCCGCGCCCCGGGGCCGCCGATAATGGCCATTCTCTACGGCGAAACATGGGAGAAAAATGCAAAAACGTAAAAGGTAGGAAGGGGCGCAAAAAAATGATCGATGCGATGAGGGAATATCATTGATCGAAACCCGAAAGCGTTCGCTAAATCAAATGCCGGCCGTCAAAGTAGTAGAGTAAAGTGAAGGTAAAGCATGTGATAAAAAGCGCTGGTAGGTGGTCAGTGCGCAGCTATATATATTTCCTCTTGCAGAGGCTTCATTATTCCATCAAACAAACCTTCCACCTGTTAGGTGACCTCGTCATTGCCAACCGTCAATTCATCTTCATTTACATTAGTAAGTTTTACTAACCATCCCGTCCGCATCGGTGAGAAGCGGAGACTGACTTTGCATAGCATTGAACGAGACGCACGAACCTCTACACCCGAGCGAGTATGGGAGACGCCGCTCCGATCGCCGACCTTCCCGAGGGCCCACCTGATGCACCTGTCTTCCCAGCCGACGGCCTGCAGGCCCGAGTCGCCCAGATCAACGCCATCCCACTCAGCGGCCGACTGAACATCCCCACCGCGAAGCTGGAGCGCCGTCTCACCATTCACGATGTCTGGCTCCAGGACCATCGACCTGGCCTGGTCGCTGAGAGCGAGAGCCACCAACCTGTCCCCTCCTCTGCTGCCCCTCTGCGCAATCACGGAATCCACGTTCACATCCGCCCGGATGATACCTCACTCCGTGACCTGCTGCCCCTCGTCGCCGGATATGTCAACCTATCAGACGTCAATCAACTCGGCTTCCTCTGGCGCGCGTTCCTCAGGCCATTCGACGCATACTACGAGGCCAAGAAGGTACAGTCTTCCAATGCTAAAATGAACTGCCGGCTGGCATTTCATTCTCAACGG